CTTGGATCAGTTCAAATCTATTGTGCTGTAACTAGCTAACTTTTTTGAATAAGAAAGTCGGATTTATTGCAAAGGAAAGTTGAACTTTTTTCTTCAAGCAATTTTATACAACAAGTTAAGAAGATCAAAACTTTTTAATCATTAGTGTATCTCAATATGCCATTACCGTTAATTAGTAAAAGTTACTAAACTAATCATGTGATACATGGCAGGATAATCTCAAAGTAATAACTTTCAAAGGAATAAGCACCAATTTTTTTTATGGAATGAACTTTTCTTTTCTAATCTTTTTTGAATTCTTTTATTTTTCAGTTGTTTCAATAAAATTATTTATTAACAAACTTATTTATTTTGGTTCCATGTAATTAATTTATTTAATTACTTTATTTATTAATATAAAAAATAATTACATTAATTACATTGCATTCGAGAATCTGACTCAATTGATTAATTCATTATTTTTGCTAAAAATAAAATAAAATGTTCAATCTCCCCTCACCAAATCGTAAAAGGAAAAAGTTAATTACATTCAATTCAAATTGGTTTAATGGTTTTTATCTATTAATAAAAGATAGATTATCACTTCTATCATTTTTAATTTTTATTGATATTTTCATTAATAAATATAAAAGGTAATGTATTGGAATTATTGTATGAGTACGAATTATACGCAACTTCATTTTGTTGACTTAAAACCTTTACATACTATAATTTATTTTTATAAAAAAAAAAATCTAATTTTCACCATCAATAAAATGTTGAAGACTTAACATGATCTTCTCTTTCTCTCTTTTTCTCTATTAGACAAATGTATAGAAATTTAGTAACTTAAAATATTATTGAACAAGGACACCAATGAAACTATTGACTCCCAAATTGGAATACAAAAATATTTTAACTGTAGAAAATATTTGACGAGACACGTTTGACTTTTGATTATTTATATTTATTTACTAAACTTAACAAATAATTATAAATAATATTTTAAAATTTATTAATTGAACAAATAGATCACGAACATAACAAAATTCTTTCATATTTAATTCATTTGTGAAAATGAATAGACTGTTCGATGAATAGTTCATAAACATATTCGATTTCTATTTTTTTTATTTATTTATTAAACTTAACAAATGATCGCAAATAATAGTTTATGATTTATTACTAAACGAACAAATCACAAAAATAATCATATTTATTTATGCTCGACTAAACATAGATTGACTTTGACATGGTCTATAATAACATGAAATCTAATTTGTTGCGCCGAGTCTTAATTTTGAAAAATTCATATGTATAAAGAATCAGGTTGACCAAAACTTAATTACAATCATGACATGTGATCAGTTTTATATCATTACTAGATTATAACTAGAGCGATGTATGAAATAATTTACTTATTTAATATGAATATATATATATATATATATATACAAATTAGATTCTTTTCAAATTATATTCAAATTTTAAACTTATAGCATATATAAAATTTATATATATTGACTTGTTCTTAAAACATAAACTTTCTAAAACAACAAGAGAAAAATTATATATTTTCTTTGGATATTTTTGTTTACAATAATATTTATACACCTTAAGATTATATTAAATAATAATAAATTATGCCTTTCTTAAAAATTATATATTATTAAATGATAAATTAAATAATAAAAGAAGTATTAACTTACTTTCACTTTAGTAATCTTAACTAAATTATTATGCAAAATATGAAAAATGTTAGAAAATATGTGAAAAAAGAAAAAATAAATTGACAAAAATATTATTTTTTAAAATGAATGTAAAAAATATAATATCTTAAAAAAAAGTTATAACTTAAAAATAAAAAATAGTTATAGAATATACTTGAAAAATTTATTAAATAAAAAAATTGTATTTTAATTTATAGTCTTATTTATAGGATATTTTAGTGGTAATTAGGATTAAATAAATAATTTTTAAATTAAGTTTTAAAATTTAAAATGATTATAATAAGTGATAAAGATAATATTAAATTTTTTGCATTTATTTGAATTATAAATTTGATAATTAGAGTTCAAATAGATATAATGGTTTTGATGATCTTATTATTTAAACATTTAAGATGAAAATTTTTTGAATTTTCAAAATCTTTTATAAGGTTGCTTGAATTTTTAATGTCTTACATAAATTTTTTTAAAAGGATAATTTTTTAAATCAAGATAAAAAAATATTGTTGAAAGATTTTGACGAACTTAATCTTTATAATTTTTAAATATGTTTGAAAGATTTTGATAATTAAATAACTTTTTAAATAAGGTTATTTGGTAAATAACTAAAATTATTTATTAAAAAATAAAATACATATTTCATATTTTTATTTTTTATATAAAAAAATATATCTCTAAATTGATTTGATTTTCAGTTATAATTTGAATAATTTTGATATTTGAATAAATTTAAAATTATCTAATTCATAATTAAAAGAAACTATCTTTTTTTAAAAAAACTATCATATGTGTCATTTAAGAAAATTGTTCACATAGGCCTCGTATGATAAACTTGTTTATATATGTTGTTATATATATATATATATATATATATATATATATTAGATTACAATCAATCTCGGCTATGCTATGATAGATTAATTATTTTAATATAAAAATAACAATAAAATAAAATAAATAAAAATATTGTAAAATTCTTAAAATTAAAAAAAATATATGTGGTATTTTATATATTATTATTACCTTTTTTTTTCATGTTATCTTATGAGTTTTAATTTTTATTAATTATTTGATCTAAATGTATGATTTTTTTATTTTTGTAAATTATAAACTTTTTTATATAAAATTTTTAAAACAAAAGAGAAAAAAAAAGTAACTTAATTTCATTTTTATTTTTATTTGTTATATTATTTTATATTAATGTTTATCATTGTTATTATGTTTTTATTGCTTTATTTTATTTGATCGTAGATAATAAATGGTAAAAACTCAAAACTTATAAAAATTTATACAATTACAATCTAACATCAAACAAACACCACATTTTTTTTTTCAAATCCAATTAAATCCCAACTCATCATGTCTCAATTCAATTAAAACCAAACACACTTTGACCTACCAAACTTAATACTTTATTAAACTCTTTTATCAACCAACAACTATTTGATAAATAGAAAGTAATTTGTCAACTCAATTATGAGTTACCCTTCAATTAAGAGTTGTCCCCACCTAAAGACACTTTTTTTGTATGTTATTTTGTTAATCTAAATGTAAAAAAGTTATTAACACTCTCACAATATCCATTCAAAAATGGCCATCCAAAGACAGTAATAGCACTTTCATAAGCTCCATTCAACGTTGGTATTAATTAATTCTATATTATCCTAAAAGGATCTTATTTAAATAGTTTTTTATTTTTAATTAAATATTATTATTTAAAATATTTAAAAATATTTAACTTTTTTCCAATATTTTGACAGAATTCTAAAAAACTTTTCTTATCTCAAAAGTAATTAAAAAACTCATTCATGTTTTTGTTTTTCTAAAAAGGTTTCATTGTTTGATTAATTTAAAATTTTATGGAAAAAAGTTTATATTTATATTTACATTTTATTTTACCAATTTCTATTTTTGCGAAATTTTTTATTAAAAATAAATAAAATATTTTTATTAAAATACTTCTAAAATCTTTCCAAAAGTTTTGGTAAGATTTTAAGAAAATTCATCACCTAGGAATTTAAAGCACCATTTACAAATTTCTTCTAATTTAATTATTGGAATTTTTTTAATTTACATGATACAAATAAATAAATATAATTATAAAACTTATAAATTTTTTTGTCTAACACATATTTTTAATTTTTCATGTTGGCAAATGATTAAAATATGTTCCTAATATAAAATTTAAGTATGTAAGTAAATAAAAAAAATAAAGAGAAAATTAATAAATTAAAATTAAAATAAAAGCAAATAAAATAAAATACTAAAATAAAAAGAATTTGATTGCCATGTGTCAAAAAAAAAAAAAAAACTAAACTAAACTAAAAGTACTCTCTAAATCACTCCAACTAATTTATTTCATGCCTTAATTAACTATCTAATCAATTTTTATGATTCATCTTAGGAGTCTTCGAAATTGAAAAATCTCACATTTGTGGAAACTTTAGTTTGTTGTGTAGATAGGTATAATTAATATAAATTATATGTTTTATTTTTTTTTTTCATAAAATTAATAGTTGGTTGATATTTATTGTATTGATTAAGTGCATATTTGCCATGTGTCAAAAAAAAAAAATTAAAAGTACTTTGCATATTTGATTAAGTGCATAGGAATTTTTTTATTTCTTGAAATTTTGTGATATTTTTGTTTGATTTTGTGATTTTTTTGGAAAAAACTAACTCCAAAAAGGGCTTAATTTGATTAAAGGCTTAATTGTTTGATTTTTTAAATTGAGACCTTAATTAAAGATAATATAATAACTCAAATTTAATGTTTACTAACTTAACCCCACAAAACATAAGTTAATATCCTAACTTGACCCCAAAAACATTAGACAAAGTCCTAAATACCTCATTCAGAGTTAGTTGAAAAGTCCAAACCAACCCTAAAACTGTTACTAAATATTCTAATTAACGCAAATTCTTAAGTTAAAAGTTAAATTCATCCATCAAGTCATTATTTATGACACAATTTAGATGGTTAAAAATTAAACTTCAATTTTTCATAAGGATAACTTGAATATATTTTATAGATTATTATTTATTGACTGAATACCGTTTCTTCTAGGTTAGGCATGGATTTTGGAACATTCTTTTATTTTCGCCAGTCAACAAATTATACCTTCCAAGAAGAAACTGGAGAACGACACGCTTTCTTCCTATAAATTATTGGATTTTATGACCCCGAATAAATCAAGGGGTGAACTGAGCAGCACATTAGAAAGAGGGAAAGTGGCTTTCTAATTATCTTGAGAGAAGAGTTTGAAAGAAAAAAAAAAAAAAAACAAAACAAAAATGGGTTTATTGAGCCATGGTTTTGTTTCATGGTTGCATGGGGTTTTGTTTCTATGTATCCTGGTTCTTTGCAGGGCAGACGTCCATCGTTACGAGTTCTTTGTAAGTCCATTTCTTTACATATTCAGCATGAAGAGTAATTTTCGTAGAGTTAGTTTGGAATTCCAATTGATTTAAATATGATCTTAAACCGACTTGATTTAACGAAAAAAATATAAATTACTCATCTTATCCATTTTTGTGTATTTAGTTTAAGAGTTAATGAAAATTTATGCTAAATAATTAATATAATATTAATAGTGTATATAATTTATATATCGATGGTATATTAAAAATAATTTTTTTATTCATATTTTTTTTAAAAATCTTTTAAAATTATATTTTTTATTCTTTTTAAATTAAAAACTCAATACTCTTAATTTATATTCTGAAATTACTTTTCATGATTATTTTTTAGTTTTCTAACGTTAAAAAATTTGAACATTACCTTCATAAAGAGGTTGAAAAATCGAATCCTTTTTCTCATAAATTCTGTGAAAAAAAAAAAAAAAAAAAGACAAAGAAAACAAGATAGTGAAAGTATGATTTATGACTTTATCCTTCAAATTTAGGTGTGATGATAAGACACCTTCGTAGTAATATAAAATTATGGTATATATGACATATCCAAATATCATGGCAAAACGCCTGAGAGAGAAGTCTACCATTGATACTTGCTTGCCTTTTTTTTTTTTTTTTTCAGATAGCAAAATAATAATCATTTTTTTATATTGTTTTTGTTAATTTCATTTGGCGGTTTCGGTTGCAGGTGCGAGAGTCAAACTTCACAAAGCTGTGCAACACAACAACTTTGCTGGTCGTAAATGACAGTTATCCTGGGCCTGAGATTCGGGTTCGCAGAGGTGACACTGTCTACGTTAATGTCCATAATCAAGGAAACTATGGCTTTACCATTCATTGGTAACTAGCTTTCTCGCTTTACTCTTTTTTTTTTTTTTATTTAAGACTGTTAGTATTTAAATTTTGATCACTAAAACTAAAAATTTAATAGCATGAAAACAAATCTTGCGGCTGTTAGATAATAATTTCATCAAAGAATTGAAATCTAAAGGCCTTTTAAGTAAATTAATTTTACAGGCATGGTGTGAAACAACCAAGAAATCCATGGTCGGATGGCCCTGAGTTCATAACGCAGTGTCCGATTCAACCAGGAACAAACTTCACTTATGAAGTTATATTATCTGACGAAATAGGAACTCTGTGGTGGCATGCCCACAGTGACTGGACTCGTGGCTCCGTCCAAGGTGCCTTCGTCATTTTACCGGCTGAGAACGAAACTTATCCATTTCCCGCTCCAGACGCGGATCAAACAATCATACTTCGTAAGCATTTTTTTTCAACCTTTTTTTTTCCATAATTGACTGAATTTTTTCTATTATATATATTGACATCAGACCAGTTGAAAAATTATAAAAAAATAGTAACAGTCCTCTCTTCGTTTGTCTTACTGTAATATTATATGAATTAATCTGACAGAATCATGGTATAACGGAGACTACAAGCAAATCATCGATCAAGCACTTGCAACCGGTATCCCTCCACGCCAACCAGATGCTTACGCTATCAATGGACATTTGGGAGACACATATGGATGCCTCAATGGTACGTTCCAGCATTAAAACCAGGATCAAGCTGTCCCTTTGAATATTGCTTCTTGTAGTTATTTTTCACTGTAAATTACCTCCTAAAAGTTGTTATAGTAACAATTTATAATTACCTAGTGCAGATACAATATTCCGTATGCAAGTTGATTATGAGAAGACATACCTTCTGCGTATAATCAATGCTGCAATGAATGAACCAAAATTCTTCAGCATCACAAACCACAGCCTTACACTCGTAGCACAAGATGCTTCCTACGTTCAAAGGTTTACAAGCGACTATATTTTGATAAACCCTGGACAAACCATGGATGTTTTGGTCTTTGCAAACCAAAACATTGGCCAATATTATATGGCTACTAGGCCTTTCTCTGATTCTGCAGCTATGCCTGTTGACTTTATCACTACTGGTGTTTTTCAATATACAAACAGTATGGGTGGACTGAATGCTTCTCTGATAACACTGCCCACAAGAAACGATGCAAATGCTACAAATAACTTTGTCAGCCGTATTAGGAACGCAAACGTCACTCAAAATCCACCATTGAATGTGCCGACAGATATTGATAGACGAGTCTACGTCGCAATCGCCACAAACAACATGCCTTGCAACACCTCAGAATGTCTTATGCCTAATAGGATTGTCGCAAGTTTGAACAATGTCAGCTTTGTTTTCCCACGTATTGACATCCTCCAAGCATACTACAACAGGTATACATGCATAGTTCTAGCCTCGTCGATTCAATTTAATCCATTTTATATTTTCAACTTTTAGTAATTTTGGACTACTGGTGGACTTTATCTCCTTCCTCTTATTCCACAGAGCGAACTAACAAATTTTGGTAACGGCCATTAGAAAATTAGTAGTTTCATTATTGAAGCTAATTACTATATAATTTTTCCTATGACAGTAGCACCAATGGTATTTTCACAGAAGATTTTCCCCTTGATCCACCTGTATTCTATGACTTCACTGGAAACTTGACTGATCTCAATCCGAGAGTTAATCTAGGGACAAGGGCTGTTGTGCTAAATTACGGTGAAGCAGTTGAGATTGTGCTCCAAGCAACTAATCTTGGTGCTGGTGGAAGTCACCCAATTCATTTGCACGGTTTTAGTTTTTATAGGGTCGGAACTGGTTTTGGAAATTTTAACAATGTGACTGACCCAAGCACTTACAACCTGGTTGATCCACCACTCATTAACACTGTCCACGTCCCCGGTAGTGGATGGGTTGCCCTCAGATTTTTTGCAACAAATCCTGGTAAGTTTTCGTCTTTGTTGAAGAAAATTAGAAAACTCTTCTGCCATCTTTCTGTAACAAAGTAGGTTATTAATTCATATGAATGATGTATATTTTTTTCAGGGGTATGGTTTATGCACTGTCATTTGGAAAGGCATAGTAGCTGGGGAATGGACACTGTTTTCATTGTGAGGAATGGAACCACCGCAGAAACAAGCATCCTTCCACCACCAGCCGGCATGCCTCGTTGTCCTGGAACCTAGAAGTAGGATAACTGGACAAGTAGTTTATGTATCTATATTTTTTAACAAACGAATGAATGCATCAAATTTTATTTGAAATACTTTAAATAAGGTTCTCATTCGGAAATGTAACTTTATAATACATATATGATTTATGTAATTATTTCTGAGAAGATTTCATTTTTAATTGTACTTGTTTACATTCATCTTAATATGATTTAAATTTGTTTGATTGGAAGTATGGCTTTTATATGTTTTGAAATTAGAAAAAGTATCACTTGATAACAAGAATAGACTCTATGTGTTTCCACATGGTCTCCAGGCTAAAACATTTGAACTTAAATTTGTGATATAATTTAGTTTTTATCCCCAAAAAATTAAGACGAGTAGAGTACAAATTATGACGGAAATTAGAATTTTCACCTACAACTCCTTACCTGGTACCATTTGAGGTAAAAATCCTGAAATGGCCTGGAAGAGTTTTACCAGTTTAGCCAAGCGATTAAACTTGCGAAGAAAAGACCAAAATTATACAAATTGATCTACATTTTGTATACATTATGGTAAAATCAATCTTCAGTTTTACTTTTCGATGATCGGTATAAGAGAAACGAAAAAAAAAAAAAAAGAAGGCTCATAATATTATAAGTAAAAAGGAAAAATTCCATTCTAAAGATTTGTCTTTTATTTCAGATTTCGATACAATTACTAATATTGCAAACTTGAATCAGTTAAAACGTACTTTCTTTCTTATTAAGAAAGTTCCAGACTAAAAATCCAATCAAATTAAAGTTTCTCAAAAGAAATGCAAAGCAAAGTAGAATATTTTCATTGGAGAAATTTTAGAAACTTTAAGATTTTAAGACCAAAATCTTTTTAACTTTAAAAAGAAACGAATTTATAAAGACCAAAGCATTTTATGAATGTATGCCAAACAAGCGTTTCGGACAAACTATAATCTGAAAAAGGTTAACAAAGCCGTACATGGCAGGCTTCTAATCTCAAAGTAATAATATTCAAAGGATGTCTGTTTTAAAATCACAATCACGTGTAGACACCGATGATGTACCAGTCAAAATGTTACTGAGGTAACCATCAAGGTATAACAAATATCAATGGTGTTCTCATGACAGACTTTCCCCTTGAGCCAACCGTTTCTATTACTTCAAAGACTTGTATCACAATTGGTATAAAGGAAAAGAAAATGGAATGAAACCATATAATAATGGCTGGTATAAGATTGATTTATTCACTAACAGATTACTAATCAACTTGTCGCATTTGTAGTTTCCAGCTCCAATGAACATACAAAATTACACCCAGTGGTCCTAATTACACACAACATGAATGCTGTACCAATGTAAGAACTACAATTCAATAAAACACCACTTACTAAATAAGAACAGTTAGAAATGAACACCATCTTGACTTTAAACTGTAATATGGATAGAACAAAGCGGTCAAAACCTAAATGGAAATCAAGGCAGACAACGACCTTGTTGCTTGTTGAGATTGGCATTTGGTCCCAAACTTCTCAATCTCTGTAGGATCTCAAATTTTTGACAAATATTTTATCTTATAGATATTATGCTTTATACCATAAACTAACTAATCAACAATCTCTTAAAATTGCACAAACAAAAATCACACTGAAAATTCAATGCCACGAGCCTACGTTTTTGCCTCAAGACTCATATTCATTCAAATTATCAATGCTCAAGTACTTTCACATGAATCAAATATCAAGGTTCAATAGGAAACTCTATTCTACTAAATACGTGAACCAAACCCACAAACGCAGGACTTCCTAAATACCAATTTCTGCATAGGGTGAAGAATGTCAGTGAGGATCATACAGAAGATCATGGCTTTATATAAGAATATAAACTCACCAAAACAGATAGAAAATGTAACAGATCTGGACGCTCCAATAATAAAATCCCAAGTGCTCAAATAATAATTGAACTCTTCTAATGTTATTTTTTCTCCCTTCTTTTATGGCTCAATTTATATCTCAAAGAACTCAAATAAAAACAGCCAATATATGTATAATCAAAATCTAAGATGTTGATTTCAAATTTTCACATAATAGCTAAACCACAAGTCCAACACATACTTTGGCACACCATTGCCCTTAGCCGACCATTGCCCCTACTTAAAGGATTCTATGAGAATATAATAAGCCATAACAGAATTCATTGATCCAAGCACATGTAAATCAACAAAGAACAAAGCCCCTTTATAGGAATTTGGTCCCAGCATTTGACTAACAACTCATTCTTTTTTGGGGCTCTACCTTTATTTCCTAACAATCAAACTCCACTTTCTTCAGGTTTTCCAAGAAACCAAATGTGTGTTTAATCATCTTATGACATTCTTAAACAAGAAAAGGGTAATGTATGAATTAACCATTCTCAACGTCATGCACTATGATCATCAACCAAAACAACTTGTATACACAACTAAATATGCCTATCCAAACAACTATAAACATTTCTTCTTGTATTTCTTAACTATCATCACAAGCCACAAGGTTAAGCTGTCCTTAATAAATTTTCACACAGGTAACTGTCACATGTTTTATTAAATTCTATTCCATTTAGTCATATGAAATTAAGATGTTAAATCAACCACATTCATAAAAGGTTACATTCATATCATAAGAGTAAGACCATGCCTAGATGATCAAGTAGCACTTTAGCATTCTTAAATTACAACTCATACCCCTTAAGAGAGTTATTGGCTATGGCCATTTCTCTCCATGAGAAGTTTATATTTTCAAATAATGAAGAATTATTCAAATGGACATCCCCTTCAAGGCTATTATTACTAATTAAGGATTATCAATAGACTCAACCAGCAATTACTGGTATAAAATGACGACTGAAGTTGGTATTTGGCAAAGAAAAAATTTCTATTAATAATGATAAGAAGAGGATACTAAATTACTCAATTTTTGAAATCAAGCAAAGCAACTCCATCAGATTCATTTGCAAAAGTTGGTATTACTGTAGATCTCGAACATGAATTCACCAACAAAAATCAAAACCCCTCAAAAAAGAAACTTCTAGAGTTCAAACAAGTGTGCTTCATGCTTAAGGACATACCAAGTCCATAAAAAAAAAGAAGCAATAAGAATCTAATACATAAGAAATATGTAAAAGAGAAACTAACAGGAAGAGAACTCACTGGAGGACCACACTTTCATGAAAATATCTAGGGATGCAAAAGTTCAACCGAGATGGTCCAGATTACTAAGATGATTAAACATCTTTCTCTTTTTACTTTTGGTGCAACCGAGTGATAACGAATTTAATCCTTTCCGTCATAAAGGTAATTCTAAGGACAACATATCTCTTAATACTTTAGCAGATTAAAGCCAGAGTGTAGAATAGGGGAAATGTTTGGTCAATAATAACAAACCATTAATATCATAATGCTTCACACTTGAAAAGTTGTTCAAGCTCTGCAATTGCTTGATAATGACCAAGATATTGCCTCTCATGTTTCCAGGTTGCAAGAACAACCATTACATTTGATCCCAAGGAAAAAGAAACTTGGACCAGAATTGGATGAGAGAAAAAGAAAGGTTTAGGGAGGAGGGGGAACACATAAATATCAGACATCTTCTGATAAAGGAAATTTAGAAAAAAAAATAATGTTTTATATGAAGTGAAATGGAATAATAAAGTGTGTCATCAAATGAGAAATGGTAACACAAGATAAACCTAATCAAAGCACGGATAAATATCTCAAGCAAAAGCTTCAGACATCTTCTGATAAAGGAAATTTAGAAAAAAATAATGTTTTATATGAAGTGAAATGGAATAATAAAGTGTGTCGCACAAATGAGAAATGGTAACACAAGATAAAACTAATCAAAGCACGGATGTTTGGATGAGAATAGTAACACAACCGACTAATCGGAGCAAGGTAACATAATACATATCCAAAGAATTCCTAGAGTGTTTACAGTTTTATTATTTAGCAATAAAAAGTGATTTCTTCTTTTTCAAGGCTTGTTGGTCAATGCCAATTGTTCTTATCTTTAACTTACTCTCATAGTCCTACTAACCTAGCAGGACCATGTACAGAGAATCTTAATTCCTCCCTACGGATACTTAAACATTTAAGAATGATAACAGGGTTCAAGGCAACTTTAGTTTATTTATACATTTTGGACAGCTTTCTTTTCAATCTTCTTTCAATCAATTACTCCAACTCAATGCAAGGTTTTTTTTTTTTTAATTTCAATTAACAAACAGGCCTAATTTCAGTAGACCCTTTGTAAACATATATAATTCCACTCCAAGATGAACTTGTAAAATAAGAACACTGATTTAGAATAATCACATTAAAACAGGATAAGTAAAAGCAACCTTGGAATGCATAATAGTATGCAGTTCTTGGATCTTAAACATTACCTACACTTTTAACTTACTGGTTCCTATATACGAGTATATGTTTACGGAATGGGCAACAACAAAATTTCTCCACCCAAATTCATCTGTGCTTTGCTCTCTGATTAATAACGGGTTCATAAATTCTAGTTTCCATCTATGCTTTAATTCTATTTCAACTCCCTTTGAGATAAATAAAATAAAACCATTGTCAATAAAGCTGAATAAACTATGAAAAATAAACACAACTATGAATTCCTAATAATTTAATTTACCACTAATAAAAGGTAGCAGCCAAGGCATTACTAATTAAATTCAAAATGAAAAAAGCATAGCAACCCAGTATAACCTAGTCCAACTAGCAAGGGCCAACAGTAGTACAACATAGAAGGAGAAAAGCCAACAAAAAAACAATAAAAAATGGGTCTAGACTGTAGAGAGTCAAAGGTTATGCTTCCCCCTGATCTTGCCTTTACCACAGGCACGACGCTTCTTTTTGGCAAGCTTAAACTTGTTTTTGGACTTCTTTCCTATTCCGCCAACTGCTTTCAAGGAGGCCTTGCCCTTGCTTTGATCACTGTCAGCCATCCCCACTTCTGTCAAAGGAAAGGAAAAGGATGAATAATATACAAAACAATCCAGCGCATGAAAATCAGAAATTGAATGGATCGAATCAGTATATACCCATGGGATTGAGATTGGTAGTTGTTGAATTGGGTGCTGTTACTTGTTCTTCTACTTGCATAGAACCAGTGTCCGGGGCTCGGACGGGCAGCTTAGGGGCAGCCAAGGCAGCTTCTTGAGCAGCCAGCTTGGCTTCATCTTTCTTCTGGTAGAAGGGCTCCACTATTTCCCTCCTTATGGCTCTCAGCCTCTTCTCTCTCTTCGATCTCATCGACTTTGCCATTTTTTTTCCTTCTAGTTTTCTACAGTATAGTCGTCTTTTAGGGTTTATATTTCTCCTTCTATTCACTTCAGAGTCTAGGGTTTTGCATTTAGATTTTGGTATTTATACGTATAAATCAGTTTTAGATCTGTTTGGTTATAGGGCTGCTTTTATCCCTACCTCCTTTGCAAATATGCTTTTCCGCCGCCTATACCCGTTTTATGAATTATTATTTATAATACGCCGTTTTTAATTTTTATTTTATTATTATTAATTAACTTCTTTCAACATTTATTTGCATTTAATTAGGTTTATTGGATAAAACAATTAACACTATTAATTTTTTATCAATTTAAAATAAAATTTCATTTATCATCAATAAAATAAATAAAAATTTATCTCATGATGTAATAAATATATAAAAAATTAAATAAAATAAACTTTTTCCTTTTTTGGTTTTTTATTTCTTTCTATTTTCTCTACTTCTCTCTCTTCTCGATAAGATCTTTATAAGAATTCGATTGATTGTTAATTTGAAAATTTAATTGATTAGATTTTATCATATTAAATTTCACCCATTTAAGGATTAGTTAATCAAAATAAAAAATTAAAGATTTAATTAATTATAATTAATATTAAAGACTTAAATAATTATTAAATTATAATTCAAGGACAAGTTTATCTTTTAACTTTTATTTTATTTTCACTTCAATCTTTAAATTTTTAAATTGTTAAATTTGAACTTTTTTAATTTTAAAAATTAATTTCATTTTGATTCTTTTATCAGACTTTTCTTTAACAATTGAAAAAATTTTAACCGACCATTTAGATATTCACATGTCATGTCACATAAATTACAATATGAAAATTCCATTGATGTTAAAAGGATCAAAATAAAATCATTATAAAAGTTATGGCCCAAATACGATAATTTAAAGGTCAAAAATTAATATAGAATCAAAATAAAAAAAAATAATAATAATAAGAGCTTCTAAATGCATCCCTTGACTTACTCTTTACATTCAATTTTCTTTTATTACAAAGTATTCTCATAGAGAATTAGATAATTAACTATTTTCAAATTAACATTAAACGCTTCAATACACCATTTGAATCAGCTTCATTTTCTTCTTTTATTCTTTTATTTAATAGCGTTTGAATAGAGATTTTTATGAATAAATTCATGCATGTTTTTATTTTTTATTTTTATTTTAGGAAAAAAACGTATAAAAAGTACTTGAATTATAATTAAAAAATTATTTAATTTTTATTTTTATTATTATTAATTAACTTCTTCAACATTTATTTGCATTTAATTAGGTTTTTATTGGGATAAAACAATTAACACTATTAATTTTTTTATCAATTAAAATAAAATTTCATTTAACATCAATAAAATAAATAAAAATTTATCTCATGATGTAATAAATATATAAAAAAATTAAATAAAATAAACTTTTTCCTTTTTTGGTTTTTTATTTCTTTCTATTTTCTCTACTTCTCTCTCTTCTCTATAAGATCTTTATAAGAATTCAATTGATTGTAATTTGAAAATTAATTGATTAGATTTTATCATATTAAATTTCACCCATTTAAGGATTAGTTAAATCAAAATAAAAAATTAAAGATTTAATTAATTATAATTAAATATTAAAGACTTAAATAATTATTAAATTATAATTCAAGGACAAGTTTATCTTTTAACTTTTATTTTATTTTCACTTCAATCTTAAATTTTTAAATTGTTAAATTTGAACTTTTTTAATTTTAAAAATTAATTTCATTTTGATTCTTTTATCATACTCTTCCTTAACAATTGAAAAAATTTTAACCGACCATTTAGATATTCACATGTCATGTCACATAAATTACAATATGAAAATTCCATTGATGTTAAAAGGATCAAAATAAAATCATTATAAAAGTTATGGCCAATACGATAATTAAGGTCAAAATTAAATAGAATCAAAATAAAAAAATAATAATAATAAGAGCTTCTAAATGCATCCCTTGACTTACTCTTTACATTCAATTTTCTTTTATTACAAAGTATTCTCATAGAGAATTAGATAATTAACTATTTTCAAATTAACATTAAACGCTTCAATACACCATTTGAATCAGCTTCATTTTCTTCTTTTATTCTTTTTTTTATTTGATTGGTTAAATATTAAAGTACCCTTGAATTTTATTATTTTATTTAGATAAGTTCTTATAATTTTATTATACTCAAATAAACTCTTAATTTTTTATTTGTATTCAAATATACTCTTATTTCAAACAAAATATTGATTTATATTAAGAGTTTATTTAGTTATAAATTAAAAGATAAGAACTTACATGGATATAAATTAAAATTTAAAAGTTTATTTAGTGCAAAATAAAAGTTAAAGGTATATTTGAATATAATAAAAATATAAAAATTTATCTAAAAAATATAAGGGTCAGAAGTTTTTTTTTATTATTTTAGCCACATCTATTCTTCTATTCCCTTTCATACATTCATATCTATCACAAACTCTAAACTATAAAAACTAAAATTATTATCAAAACGAAAATTAAATTACCCAGAAGGGAAAAAAATATATATATTCGTCGACAGATGGGTCCAAAATCTCTATTAATTTCATACTTAAATATAATCGGATAAATTAAGCATTAATTTCTCTCTTTTCTGCCCTAAAAATTTAAATCACTAGCTCCTGAGCAATTATGTGATTAAATTGCCGCCTGTTTTGACAATAATATTGCTTGACCATAAATTGGTGATGCAAAGTCCACGCAACAAGCTCCACTTATATCCTCGAAAGAAATAGAGAGATGAAAAGAAGGCTGTTGTCTTCTCCAACAAGAGAATTGAGGAATTAAGTACTGGTTTGGCACGACACCTGCATGGAATGCGGTGAATTCAAGTGAAAAGATTTTCAGTCTGCATAGCCTGAGGATCCACTTCCAACGTTTAAAGCGTTAAAAAGGCGGGAGTCAGGGAGACCATATCACAAGCTGCTTTTTTTCTTCTTTTTTATCCATGTAGAAGGAAATGGAAAAAGGTATGTGAGTGGTGTTTATGAAAAATAAAAAATGCGATTAATAGGTGCAATGAATACAAATATTTGTTCGATTTTAAACTTGAGATGTAAAAATTAATTTTTGAGCTGTAAATAGAAGCTCTCATTAAAATTTAAAATTGTAAATAAAATTTATCATATAAAAAGGAACAATGAGTAGCAATTAACAAAAAATAACTACCAAACCAAGCAAAAAATATTTGTTGCAAATATGCCATTTCTTTTGCTAATTCCTAAACACACACAATGGCAGAAAAAGCATAAATTAAAATTTGTAATAATAATAAAATAAAAAGAAAGAAAATCAAAGTGAGTAACAGTCCTTATGGCAACAACATTTGGATTTTGGAGAATTGAGATGAGAGCTTTGCATTCTCAGTCTCTAATTCCCGATTCATTAACTACAATATATATATATATATATATATATATATATATATATATATAAGAAATAAAATTTTGATGATAATAGAAGTGTTGAAAGCAAACGAAATTAACCAATAACGCAAAGCAAGAAGTGCATTGACTCTATTTCAAAGTTACGTGTTTACCACATAAGCTATTAATATCATTTTTAATATAAATTAAATAAATATTTTTTACTTAAACCATAAAAATGATCTAAAATCAGTCAATTTTTTTGTTACGCGACATCCACGTAAAAGTTTTTACCAATATTTAACATTTTTATTTAACATATAATATGCATATAACAAAATCATATTGCTTAAGCATCATATTTGATGCTAGAGAATACCGCACAACAGGCACAATCTCACGATACATGTCCAAGCCGGTGTGACAGGCCATAGACAAACAGATCATTCAAGCACGCACAAATTATTCATTCATAGCTCATGCAAATGATCAAACATAATTAACTCACAATTTCAACAGGCTCAAAACCTTTCTCAATGGATGCCTTGACAGCATCCAGAACCAGTTGTGTCTTCCTGCTTATTGTTGGCCACTTTTTATCTGGCTGTGCACCATTCTTTTTAATATTTTCAACCAAGCCAGCAAACTCTCTCACCATGCAGGCTTCCTGAGGTAGATCTACGGTGACAGTGTGTTCGCTTGGAAGTGACACCCATCCTGTTACAAGTTTGTTAAATCCAGGTTTTGTGGATGTAGTATAAGAGGCCTCTTGCTCTTGGTAAGGAATAATGAAATCCGTGAGATGCAATGTTCCAAATGTTCCTATAGCAGTGATATTCATTGTCAAATTCGATAAGAAAGAGCAATGGAAGGTTGCAGTTTTGCCATCTTCCCAGTGTAATGAAGCCCCACAATTTAGTATTACCCCTGCTTCATTGAGAACAGGACCTCGCAAGGCTGAAACAGTCTTGGGTAGCTCATAGTCAGCTGCCCACAAGATTGACCTGATGCAATACCACCCAGCATCACCAAGTGCACCAAGAGCATCAAGATCTGGCTTCACACGAATGTCATTTTTGAGAAAATCTGGATCAGCAAAAAATGAGAAGTAGCTGTTTACCTGAGGAAACCAAAGGTTATTAATCAATCTTGTCAGTCTCTATTAAAAATACATAGCTTAAGAGGGCGAGAAGGTAGCCTAATCAATATATTTTTTTCAAAATAACTTGTCACTACCCTCAGCATACCATTAATATGGTAACAATCATTTTAATATCTTACCATAAAAGCATAGACTGCAGCAAAAGAGAATTAGACAACATTCTGCACAAACTCAAGTTTATGAACAATTAAGAGGCACACACACCCCACCCTCTGCCCCTGTCTCTATCTTCTAAAAGCACCTGATAGGCCATTTTACCACATATTTATGCCTTATTCTGGCATACTTTGTCGAAGCATGTCAATCTTTGGAGAAACATCAATAACAAGGATTGAAATAAACATATCACTGCAAGTTTATCTCAGACAGGTTTTTACCATGACCTAGTTCTTTCCACAGTCTAGCTTAAGGGGACTACAAACGTTTTGAATTCATATCAGACAAATTTTATCAATATATAAATAATAGTTCATCACAAACAGCAGCAACTTATCTCAAAAAGGTGATAAACAGTAAGGATGTTAATTGAGTTGGTTTCCAAGATTGGTTGGTTGAGTGTTTTGCAAACATTACTATGCATGCAGACATACAGCTTCTCTGTTTTCACACACAAACAAAATGCATATATATATATATATTGCTTCTTCGAATTAATAGGAACTTACGAAAATCCTCAGCAACTATATCTTAGAGATTGTGCATTTGGGCCATATTTTGAGATCTATTTCAGAACAAAAATATCATCACCACTCATTTGCTTCATCCTTTATAAAACCCTTTCAGTAAACCCAACTGAAGCTTATTTTCAGTGGCCATAAAAACTAAAAAATTCAGTTCATATCACTTTGTCGGTAAAAGAAAGTTCATAACACTGTTGACAATGAACATTCACATATCTAGACCATTAGTTGTGCTTGTTTTCTTTTCCTTCATCTGCAACCCACAGGATGTAAGATTCTCCAGCCAAAGCGATCCTAATTACCTTTTCTCATCCAATTAAGTAGCAAATCACAAGTACTTGGCTCCTTGCTCACCACACACCCCACTTTTCTCAAAGTAGTGCAATCCTTCCCCAGCATCATAACTTAGTCTATAGGGTATAATGCACTTCAAATAAATCTCAGTAAGGTTCCAAAAGTGACTTCTTAACAACTAACACAAGATTTTGCCACACCAATAAATGAATCATGGTCCAATAAGGTGCTAGGTTCTGATTCAACAAGCATCGAATGGTTCATGTTTTACCAATAACAAGCTCGGCTGAAGAGGTTCATAAAAGCATCAGGTTCTGAATCAACAGGAATACTGGATGACTCCCTCATCCAAACACAGACATTCAATGTAGTCAAAGGTGAAGGGCACTAAGTATAATATTTGAGTCAAGCAAGTTGCTAATTTTTTAAAAAGAAAAGCAACGCACCCACAGAAGCGGACATTTACAGAATTCAAGAAGTTGACCCATTCCATTGCCTAATTTATTACAAAAATCAGGCATTACCAAAAGGTATCATCAAACTCTAGCTCAAAATAAAATTTACAAAAATAATAACAATAATAATGAAAATAAGAATATGAATCAATAATATTTTATTTTTTGAGAAAATAATTGAGTTGGTCTCCTGTCCTATTCCATTCCTACTTCTCCAATTTCTTTCCTGCATAAAATAAGCTTTAACCTTTCTTCTATTGCCTAAGAAGAAATTGATAAAGTACATAACAAAAGAAAAACCTGATATTGAGCTGAAACCCAGTAAAGTATCTACCGTTTTAAGCTGACCAAACCGCTCCTTATCGTTTAAAAACTCCTTCATTTTCTGGGTCCTGGGATGATGCACCCACATGGTCCCATCCATCATCTGAACTCCATTTTCTTCACAAGCCTTTAGAATCGTATCAAACTCAGACACGTTCAACGCCACGGGCTTCTCCGTTAACAGATGCTTCCTTTTCTGAGCCGTCAATACAGCCCATTTGAGGTGGAGGCTAGTGGGTAAAGGCAAATAAACGGCGTCGATGTCGGGGTCGTCTAAAAGGGATTCGTAGGAGCCGTAGATCTTGGCTTCAGGTGGGAACCCATTGGCCTTGGCGAAATTGGCGGCCTTGTCGATGGAGCGGCTGGCGACGGCGGAGAGAGTGGCGTTTGGAGCAAGTAGGATGGCTCGAGAGACTTTGCAAGCTATCTCGGCGCAGCCAATGATTCCGAATCTGATTGGAATCTCAGCCATTTTGTTGGTGCGAGGAAGAGAGAAAGAAGATGAGATGATGACGGTCAACGATCGAATATGTTTGGGAAATTACAAATAAAAAAATACTACCATACCAAACTTATTACTTGGAATTATTTCAAAAATTTTTTTTTCTTAGAATAAAATAGTAAATTGTAAAAATTATTAGGAAGAAATCAAAAGATTAAAAGCTCAAAAATGTCCTTAAATTTGTAATTCAATAATTATTTAAATTTTTAATATTTTATTATAATGTCATTAATATATTATTTCAACTCAATTAAATCTTTAATTGAATAAAATTTAATCACGTAAAAAAAATTGAATCAAATAATATCTAAATTATATTCAATTAAACTTTTAGACGGATCGTAAAAAAAAAGTGAGAGAAAAAATATTTTATTTTATTTTAATTATGCATGATAAATTTTTATTTATTTTATTAATGTCACATGAAATTTAATTTTAATTAAAAAATTATTGATGTTAATTTTTTTATCCAAATAAAAATTTAATTAAATGTAAATAAATATTAAAAAAATTAATTGATTGATTACAATAAAAAATAAAAATTTAAATGAATTTTTAATTATGAGTCAGAATTTTTTTTATAATGTCACATGAAATTTAATTTTAATTAAAAAATTAATGATGTTAATTTTTTTATCCAAATAAAAATTTAATTAAATTTAAATAAATATTAAAAAAATTAATTGATTGATTACAATAAAAAATAAAAATTTAAATGAATTTTTAATTATGAGTCCGAATTTTTTTTATTTTCTTTGATCAAATCAAAATTATCATATTGATTTTCATAAAACATTTGGTTTAGAGAGTAAGCGCAAAGCCAAATGTAATGATTCCTTTCTGCCTTTGTGATCGTGCCTTCCTTTCTCATCAAATAGTTTTCTTTTCTCATTTTTCTTCTACTTTTCACCATTGTCAAACATTGTGAAATTGTTTTGAGGTATGAGCTTTCTGTTTTTCAAATTTCTCATTGTTTGTTTAAAAGTTTAAAAACAATGAGAACAGAAAATTCTGTTACAGTTCTATGTATTCAATAGAAATTTTAAATTTAATTTTTGTAATGTAATTTATATTAACATAATCCTTATATTAATTTTTTTTTAAAAGCTAATGTGATAGTTTAGGTGATAATGTGTTTATTGATTTTGATTATATCACATTTTAATTGCTTAAAAATATATATGATGATGACGTAGATTAAATGAAATGGCACATGAACATTTGTATTAATACATATTATATTTTTATTTTTTAAATTAATTTAAAATTTTAATTTATTAATAATTAAAAAAACTTTGAAGAACAAAATAAAACCAAAAAAATGAAATTTTACTTTTACTTCTCTCTTTAACTTCTTTCTCTCTCCAAAGCCTCTCTCTTCCTCAAGAATCGGTCAATATTTTTCCTGGTGCCACCTCCAACAAGGGTGTTCTTGAGGGTGCCACCATGAGTCCAACAACGACAAGACTTACAAAATTGGCAAGGCTGAAAAAAGTTATAATTGTTGTAGTAGCAAAACTTAGTGTTGATAGTCATAGCATGGAAAGGTAGTTGTCTGGTGCTGGTGGTGGGGCTCGCGTGTTAATGGCCACTGTTGAACCTGCCTAAGTTATGGTAACTTTAAACAAAAACAAGTGGCTTTAAGTTATATTTTCTTCTTGGTTTTTGTTCTTTTTAGCATGGAAAGTTTTTCTTTTTATTTTTCTTTGTTTTTGGGTAGGTGGCTTTAGATTTGCTTGTTGTGGTTTTAGATTTGCTTGGTAGGTGGTTTTATCAAGGGTGTTTATTAAGGAGAAGAAGAGGAAGAGGAAAAGAATTTGTTATACAAGTGAAACATTTTGTCAAAGGTGTTTAGTCCATAAATTCTTAGATATGATAAGGGTAAGTGATTCTAGAAAGAGTAATAATCAAAGAAATGATGATTCTTGTATTTTGTTGAAGTTAAAAAATTTAAGATTTTTGTGTTTGGTTTGTAAAAGCTTAAGATGAATGCTACTAAATGTACTCTAGCCTTTTTTCTTCACATCTAAACTTTTTTTAAAATTTTTATAAGTTAAATTACTTAATTATTCTTTTTCTTTCACATAAGTTTTTGAAAATGGATTTTTGAAAAGTTATAAACCGTTCTGAAAATAAATTTTTAAAAAGTCATAATTTTTCGAAAATGAATTTTCAGAAGATTATAAACCTTTTTGAAAATGAATTTTCTAAAGTCAAATTTTCGAAAAGATTTATGACTTTTCAGATATCCATTTTAGGAAAATTACATGACTTTCTAAGAATAAATTTTCAGAAAGTTATGAGAAGGGTAATTAAATAATTTCACTTATAAAAAATTTTGAAAAACAAAATTGAGTGCCAAGAAAAAAATAGAAGGGCAATTAGCTGCACTTATCTAAAATTACTTAATGATAATTAAGGAAAAATTATCAGCAAATGATTAAAACATGTTGTAACAATGTTAGTGATGGAATTGTGATAGATTTGTAATAGTCATTACAAAGTCTGTCATGAAATTTTGAGAAAAAATGAAATAAATTTTAGCGCCTTAATATTGTAATGAAAAATTTTGTCACAAAATTGAAAACTCATTAGTAATGAAAGCAATGATAGAATTGTGATCAAAGGTAATTTAAATATGGTTTAAAATAAATAAATTTTTTTCTAAAAATATAATAGATAGTAGCGACACAATTTGACATATTTTTTTGTCATAAATTTTTCTATCACTAATTTAGGAGAGCATTTTACTTGCAACTCTTTTTCTTACAATACTGCAATTGTCTAATCATAATAAAAAATTATGTAAAGGTCCACCTCTTATAAGTATGAGTTCTACATAGAATTTTAATGGTCCTTACATAATTTTGAATTATGATTAATTAATTATACTAAAATCATTGTAGTTGATATGCTCCCCTAATTTAGTGACAAACTTTTTATGATAATTTTTCTCGTCACTTATTTTTTAATGAAACCTTTAAAACATTCTTTCTGCTTTTTCCTTTCCCAAACATTTACACTCTTTCTTTTTTTCTCTTTAGCAACGCCATAGCTTGACCTTGCTTTCCCTTGTCCATCTAACCAACCTTTTCATGCCGCTTGTCACTCTTTTGATCAATCAAACCTTATACTAGCCTCTTTCAATTGTTCTCCTATTGCCAAGCCCTATCTCACCTTCTTTTGTCATACATTGTCTCACACACCTCTACCACTCCTTCACCTTCCTTCTATATTGTCTTCATTTGACCTGATCTTTTCTTTTATACCTAAACACGAAACCATAACAACTTAGGCCATTCTTGAAAACATTTTGTCCAGGTCATTCTTGAAACCCTTTACCTAGTTATTCTTGATAGAAATTACTCCTCTTGCATAAGTTCATATTGCTTGTACTCATGATGCCCAAAAAGTTACTGTAAAGGTTTCAACCTTTGTTACTTTTACTTGAAAACATTTTCAGTTGAATTTTACAAATATAGGACTAAAATATTTTTTTGTTAGGATTTACTTTCCATGTCCAATTATTTTTCTTGAAATTTAGGTTTAGTACACTTACATGATAGATATTGTAGTTGCAAATCAAGCCATTGTAGAATTTCCTTATCTGGCTTCTATATTATGACTTATGATGCATACATAATTGGATACAGGATTGTAGAATTGCTTGACTTGAGCATATAGGTTTTCTATTGTCTTTCTCATGGGTTTTTATGTGGTTTCAAACTATTAAAGTTTGTAAATTTTCTTGATTTATGCATGTAAATGGCTATTAGTTGAAATTTAAGAATGTTTACCTAAGGAAAATTACTTTAATAATCTTCTCGTTTATGTTCTCCATGAATTCCTTAATGACTTAATATTCTTAAAAAGTTTTCTAAATTTACTTCTTATAAAATCCAATTGTATTATGAAATGGTATTCATGTGTTTTACTTTTTGTTAAAGTGTTGGTATACCTTCCAATGAACCCTTGCTTGTAAAAGGTGGACATAGACAATTATGTAATGTCTATGTCTTGGATAGTTGTTTTTTTAATTTATCCAATATATGTTTAGCTTTTTTTCCATCCAAGGTGCTATAGCATGACATTAGTCGATGGATTAAATTCTTATTACACTTTATATCCAAGGTTATGTTTTAATTTCAAAAAAATTTTATGCTTTATATCTAGTCTATCTATGTACATTCACTATGTAACATTTGCTTGGTAGATTATAATTTTTATTACTTTTTAAGAATAAAACTATGTAGGATGGTAGATATAGTGACAAACTAAAAGAATGGATGGGAAACAATCATTAGAAAACTCTTCATAGTTACCATTTTTGTGGTCTTAGTTTATATCCTGTTAAGGGCATTTTTAGGTTCAGAGGGTGTTTTGGTCATTTTTCCTTATTAAAGATTGTTAGTAACCAACCAAGAGTATTTTAGACTTTATGGCTGACTTAACATGTTAAATCAACCTGAGGTCACAATGTCATGTTAGTTATGCCACCTCATCAATTTACCTGGTTGGCCTTTCTCGATGCTAACTTGTCATTCTCTAAATGGACGATCAGTGTCCAGGTCAACTCGACTTTTTAGGTCATCCCTGATTGTAAAACTGACCATAGATAGCCTAAGTTACCTAGAACCCCTCACTTTTTAACTATAAATAAGGACATCCAGGAACCATTCAAACTATTTGATAACCTTATATTCTCTTATTTTCTCTATTCTTTTTTCCATTTTCCTCTCTAGTTGATCTCTAATTTGAACGTTGGAGCACAAACGTTGAAGACACTTTCAGCCTTTGTTCTTAACTACATTTTTTCTTTTTTCTTTTTAATTTTAGGGTTTTGCCATGTCAACTAAGGGCATTCTTTTATTAGTTTTCTTAGTCAAGTTAAAATACCATGCCATCGAGAAAGAGGAACCAGTTGTTGCAATTGAAACTGAAACCCAAATTGGCTAACCCACAAATTGACC